TTCAAACGAACTTTGACATCTACGTGCTTTGTTGCAAACGAAGCCGGCAAGTGTGTGTACTATCGCCATGGTGGGGGCGAGGGAGTTATATTATGTTTGTATGTTGACGACATACTTATATTTGGAACAAATCTCAAGGTCATTGAGGAAGTGAAAGATTTTCTAAATCAAAACTTTGAGACGAAAGACCTTGGAGTAGCTGATGTTATCTTGAACATCAAACTTTTAAGAGGCGGTGATGGTGGGATCACTCTGTTGCAGTCTCACTATGTGGAGAAGGTTCTGGGTCGTTTTGGATATTCAGATTGCAAACCTTCTCCAACACCTTAGGATCCGAGTGTTTTGATTTGAAAGAACGAAGGAGAAACAAATGATCAATTGAGATATTCTCAAATCATTGGCTCGCCTATGTATTTAGCTAGTGCTATGAGGCTTGATATCTCGTTTGCTGTGAGTAAACTAAGCTAGTTTGTTTCAAACCTGGGAGATGTTCATTGGCATGCACTTGAGAGAATAATGCGCTATCTGAAAGGTACTGCGAGTTATGGACTTCACTATATCGGGTATCCACGAGTACTTGAAGGTTATAGTGATGCAAATTGGATATCTGATGCTGATGAGCTTAGAGCAACAAGTGATTATCTGTCTACACTTGGTGGTGCTGTTGTTTCCTGGAAGTCTTGCAAGCAGACCATCTTAACAAGGTCAACAATGGAAGCATAACTCACAGCATTAGACAGGGCAACAATTGAAGCATAATGGCTTCGAGAACTTTTGATGGACTTGCCGGTGGTTGAAAAACCAATACCAGCTATTCTAATGAACTGTGATAATCAAACTGTGATTGTCAAGGTAAACAGTTCTAAGGATAATAAGAAGTCGTCAAGACATGTGAGAAGGAGACTGAAATCTGTCAGGTTCATGAGAAACTTCGGAGTTATAGCGTTGGACTATATAAACACGTCGAAGAATCTGACAGATCCCTTCACAGAGGGTTTATCACGAAATGTGATAGACGATGCATCGAAGGAGATGGGATTGAGACCCACTACATAAGTTGTTCATGGTGGTAACCCATTCTTTGTGATCGGAGATCCATGAATTAAAGTTGGCGAGACAAGCTATTGGATAACTGAGAGGAGAATATTTATTTGATAAAAATCCACTCCTTATGATGCAATTTTCTTCTAATCTCTATGGAAGGTTGATATTTATCTTAATGTGTTCTGAATGGCTTGGGTAGGCAATGATGTTGTCCTACATAACATCTAGAAAGAACACACCTATATGAGTTAGACTGTTAAATGTCGCGGTCTGTGAGAGTTGGCTGTTCTCTAATAAACTCACGAAGAGGCCCCGGAGTATGACGTATATGCTCCTACCCGCGGGAAAGTTTTCAGCGGTATAGTATCGGTCAAGGCTTTTACATGAAACTTGTTTGCACAAAACTTGCAGTTCAAGGTGTAGTCCACTGTTCAAGATGTGAACGAGTGTAGCGTGGAGTTCTAAGTATAAGTTCAACTTAACAGTCTCCACCGAAACGCCGGTATATAAACAAGGTTTTGGAACCATAGGCAAATTTTATGTGCATCTGGAATCTGTTGGAGAATTGTTGGAATTATTGGGCCTAGCCCATATAATAATTCTTATTTTCTGCCAATAATTCAAAGTAAATCCCAGAGGCTCATGTGGCCCATTCATGCATGACAAGGTTGTGTGGAAAATTTATCCATGCCACATGTATGCGCTATTTTATCACGCGAGAAGAAAGTTGAAACGATTGACGCATAAATGGGAGAAGAAACTGAACACTTCGTGTGAGTTTTAGTGCGCTCGTTTCTTCTCTCCTTAATGGTTTTTAGTGTGTCTATTTAATGGCGTTTATTGCACCGGTTTTTCTTCTACTAATGAAGGGCCAGTTTCAACTCTTCTCACGTACTCCCTTCGTGCGAAAATACTTGTCATCAAAATGGACAAAAAAGGATGTATCTAGAACTAAAATACATCTAGATACATCTCCTTTTATCCATTTTGATGACAAATATTTCCGGACGGAGGGAGTATATAATAGGTCGCTCCTCTGTTGTTCCGAGAGCACAACAACTCTTCGTCTCATTCCAAAGCATTGAGCCGCCTATTTCTTTCCGGCATGCACCGGGAAGTGAGACAGCAGGCCTCTGAAACCCCGCCTCTTGTGATCCGGTACGGGAGAGGGGCGATCAAGTTTTTGGAGAGCGTCCTTGCACGACTGCTCGATTTTTGTTCATTGTGGCTGCGAATGGCGACATCATCGACGACAAGTTCCCCAACGATGACTTCTTCCCCGACGTCAACGACTTCTTCAGCGACATGACGATGGGGGCATCTGCACCTTCTGCTACTGCGTCGTATGCCATCTTATCCTTATTGTTAGGGATAACATTTGGTTTATTGCTAGTAGCGATTGACATGGATATGATGCATTTTGCTTATGATTTTGATTGCATGACTAGTCTCAACGAATTGTTGCTAGTTTCTAGTTTCACCACTATATTGCTATTCATGTTTTATCCACTATTTTTCTGGGTTAAATTAAACAAGAAAATGTGTAATTATTCAACAAAAGGCATATCCAAGCAACATGAAGAGATGATGATAATGTCAACCCGCTTCAAGTGTATGATGGTTGCATGCAACTGAGAGAAGAATAAGAAACCTACGGAGGAGGAGGAAGCACCAATCGATCTCATGGAAAATTAGGTATTGGGATCTCACTGGCTTGATTGTAAGCTTGGTCGAGATCTGCGAAATACCTTATACCTTTATCATTCTGCAAGCCTACTTTTCTGCAAGTTAGTTATTTAGTTGCATAATAAATTGCTCGGTTAGCTCCTTATGAGTGGAGAAAGAATCACTTATCCGATGATGAATGTTGGTCTTACAATATACTCCCCCAAGCCTATCTTATGATAAAAAAAATGATTCAGAAATGGACCCATCAACTCCCCCAAGCTCAGAATTTTGTTCATCCCAAAGTTCTTTCAGCTGAGGCCGATAAAAATTTTAAGCTTGGCGGAGTTGATGAGTCCATTTTTGCATCACTTTTATCCTTTATTTCTGCATAATAGTCATATGATTTTCAGAATTTTACAATGCTCGCACGACCTTTTTGCCTGATTTCGCCAGGTTACCGAAGGAGAAAGATGTTTTGAGAGCATTCATTGGAAAATGCCTAATTCTGGGTGAAAATCACACTAATTGAGCTTACAGTAAACTTTCTTATGGAGAGAAGATTACATGGGACAAAAACCGGCCGTGCAGGGCTTTCCAGAGGCGAAGATGGTGGGCGGTACGAGCGTGGACGCTCGTACCATACGGCGCCACCACCCCTAGTCGACTACTTCAACTCTTGCTATCGAATTCAGAGGCGACGAATAAAGAGGCCAGAACCATGAATAAGACCATAAAACCTCACCTTCGAAAGGGATGCGAAGGAGGGATTGGCAGAAGGGTATCGCTCCTCCACCACCCCAATCAATGAGACTACGCCATCGATCTTCATCATCATCATCACCCACATCCTTATCATCAATTCCGTCAATCTTCTCATTGTAATACAATATCCTAGTTTGGATTCATATGTGTTACATTAATCATTCATCCGCTATTGTCATAAACACTTTTATGATGCTTTTTGTTTCTATGTCAAACCCCGAGTTCTCGGAGACATGGAGGAACCTTAGTATGTTTATGAGATGTACAAGATGCATCCATCAGAAGCTACTACCCTCTCTAGGTGGAACTTAGATAGGGGAATAACGAAGAGCGCCTTAGCTGCATCCATCAGGGAGACCCTTAATCATTGTTGCCTCTATCCGGCAAAGGAAACATGTCTGGTCTATTTTCTAAATGTCATGGCAGTACAAATACACAAGTAACAAAAGTTACACCGGCATCCATAGACCACCTAGGAGATGCTCTTAGAAGTTTCAAACCGAGGAATATAACCCTTACCCTTCTCCAATCATGATAAGCATAGGACTATACGAGTGCAGTATCTGGCACACGGCCACAGTGATAGATAGATTGCCGTCAATCTGCAGTTCAATTTAATTTGCACGACGCAAGCTGGCGAAGACCACATGCACGGACATTTCCTCTGATCATTGCAAATAATGCTGGCCGTTCGATGATTGTGATTAGGACAAGAGCACTTGTTTGGAGCTAGCAGCAAACGCAGGCGAGCAAGAACGACATCGGAAGACATCTGCGCAGTGCAGTGCCTTGCTGGTTTGTTTATATATAGCCCTGGGGCTCATAGCGATCGGTAGACTGTATGCATACAGGGGGCATAATGCTGCCATGGCAAGGAAGAAACAAATGCACGGTGGGTGCGCGCATGGAACATTAAAAAAGAACAAGATAATCCTGTCAGCTCACTCTCACAAACTGGTGTCTAAATAATAATAAACCGCTAAAAAGGCAAACTAGAGAATGCACTTGCACAATTATTTAAGGGAGTTTGCTAACTAAAATCACATGGGAAAGAAGGCCAAAGCTAATTATATTAGGTGCATATAATATTGATATTGATATGTACACCGGACCAGACCAGCCAGACCAGATAGTTCCTCCTGAACTCTTTTTTATGTACTATATAATAATATACGAGCAGCTGAGACAATCGTTAGATGATCATCAGCTGAGCGGAAGTTGGGCAAAACCCAAGATCACCGGTCGAGCAGCCTAGGTTTCAACCAAACCACCACAAGTTGCAAACGCCAAACAGCGAGGCACCATCCTATACAATGACCGCCGGACAGTTCATGGCCTGTGGGAGCTAGCTATCCTTACAGCTCAGTCTACAGGTTAGAACCTAGTCCTCCCCACATGGCCAAGTGAAACATCCCTTGCCTCGCCCCTATATATACGCGCCCCCTGCTGTGTCCCTCAGCACACACCCTCCACACAGCACAAGTCAGAAGTGACATAGCAACCTGGGGAGGGAGAAAGGGAGAGAGATGAGAAGGAAGGCCATGTTCACGGTGGGGAAGAGCAAGGGGGTGGTGGCATCGCTGATGCACAGGAGGCCCTTCCAGCACATGGTGCTGAGGAGGCTCAGGGAGCTCAAGAAGATAGTCCCTGATGCCCGGGACGCGGACGTCGACGTGCTGCTCAGGCAGACCGCCGAGTACATCTGCATCCTGGAGCTCAAGGTGGCCGCCCTGCGGAGGCTCTCCGCCATCTACGGTGCGTGACGGATGCCGCATCTCTGTCTCAGTGCCGCAATGCCCATGGTTAGAGGTTTTGAGCCCCAGAGTGGATGCAATTGTACATTAGTTGGGTA